AGTTACCCAAGGGCCATCTGATACACATGTATGTGTCTAGGTAATTTATAACTTACAATCCAGCTTTGGTCAGCATTTGAAAATTGTCTCAACTGGTAAAATTTTCCAAATTATTTATCCTCTCATGCAATTTTTACAAAATAATAAAAACAGTCCAATAGTCCAGTGTTGATATAACTATCAATAGCTACATCAAATGCTGACCAGAGCTGTCAACAACCACATGGGAGGGCCTCCCAGGGAGGGTCGGGGGGAGCACATTCCCTTGTTCCCTTGAAAATTTCACCTTTTCTTTCTCGTTCCCTATTAATAAATTCCATTGTTCCCCAAAATATTTTGTCAAAGTTCCATTTAATAAAAACATATCCCTTGTTCCCTTGAAATAGATGATCATGTTCCTTTGTTCCCAAAACTCCTTGGAGCCCCTCACATGACAAGTGATGAAAATAAGGAAATTCCATTAGAACATTAGTTTACAGCAGTGCAGGCACATGTATAATAAAATGATTCATTAATTTCCACTACCTTGATAAATTTACCACCAATTATCAATCAACAACAGTTCTATTATATTCTTGCAAATATAATAGTATTTGGTGGGCCTACAAGACAAGTTTTGTCTTGTAGGCCCTCCAAATACTATTATATTTGCAAAACTCAAAGAATAAACAGATTTCTTAAGAACTGGACCATTGAATAATGCAATTCAAGAGTTTACATTCATTTGGCTCAGCCATTATGGTAAATGAGCCATTATATCTTGCTCTACAAATATGGTAGGTGTATGCAAAAATGTTTTGGGAATTTTTATTTCTATTTTAGTTTTCTATATTTTGGGGGCTTTTTTTAATAAAGCAATTATTCCACTTGTACTTGTTGGATTGAGATAATTAAAGCCAACTCACATCCAACATGCACTTGTGAAATAATTGTGAAATATACCACATGTCAAAATATCTGAAAAGATGACTGTATTTATTCAATGGTACACATACTTGAGGATAGAAGTTTTTGATGGTGTAACCAAGCAGCTGATGAAGAATATCAACTCGGCAAGAACTTGGGCCCTTATAACCAGTCAAGGGGTCAGCAGGTTTAAAAATCTCAAAAGAACCAAACCTAGCA